CCAGGGCATTGCTCTGCCTGCTCCCGCCGCTGCTGCCTTTGCTCCCGCCCAGAGCCGCTCCCGGCAGCTCCGTTCTCTCGGCGCTGCCGCGTGCTTTCGGACTCTTCCTCACTCAGCAAACACGCAGCTCGCTCTCGGCATGCACCTCGCATCTCTCATCCTCAGCGTCTTGCTGGCCCGGCTCCTGGGTAAGTCCTGCCTTTTCCCCCAAGGCACCCTTCTTCTCTTCCTCTTATTCTTACCTCCAAGAAATGCTCAACAGCCTCGTGAGGACGTTGTAGGGAAATATCAGTGATTAGAGGGGAAAGGCTGAGAAAAATCAGCTTCTCTTTGTGGTTTTGCAAGTGCTTGCTAAAGAAGTTCTTTGATTTGTAAGGGAAAATGAAAGGGAAAGCAGAAAAATCTCGGACTACTTATCTGTTTTTTCTCTCACCTTCAACGCATTTCCCTCTACCTCTCTCTCGTCTGATCCTTTTCCCATCACCTCAGGAGATTTCCGCTGTCTCTTCAATCCCACATTCTTCCTATTTTAGCCTATATTCACAGATCCTGTCGAACCTGCCCCAGGCACGACACTGCTTTTAATCTCATTTTATTAACAGGGCATCCCATTCTGCCTCCAGGCTGCAATTCTCTGTCACGGCTTCCAGAGTTCTCTGTGCTGCCAGAACAAACGGGGCTCCCTCCTTCCTAAATCAGCGTTGTGTGTACTCAGGGACTGAGGAACCCTCAGAGGTGACAGGGATGCAGAAGCAGGATGAATCCTTTGACTGTACCTCGATGGTTTCGCAGCCTGCTGGAGCACACAATATTTGGGCTGTTCCCGGGTATTCTGAGCGGCAGAAATAGGAACAGGAAGGCAGCTTCTGTCTTGTCATGGTCCTGCTCTGCTGAGAGCTGTGAAATCCTGTCCAAAATCGCTCTCACCTCTCCATCTGCACATCTGAGGACTGCGCTGCAGGGCCGAGAGATTTCCCCACCAGGGTTTCTCACCCGATCTGTTTTTCCTGCCTGGAGTCCTTCCCTGTGGAGCAGCTCACCATCACTTTCTTCCAGGCGCCACGGGGCAGGACACGGTCACCCAGGATAATGGACCAGTCACGGTGAAGCAGGGACACCCCTTCCACACCACCTGCAAATACCAGAGCACTAATTTTGGGGGATTGTTCTGGTACCAGCTGCAGAAAGGCCAAGCCCCACAGCTGCTCTCCTATCAAGCAGGCAGTGGCCCCAAGCACAGCGGCCGGATCACCACGCACCTGAACACCACGGGCAAATCCAGTGTCCTGCAGCTGGAGGAAGTGGAGCTCTCTGACAGTGCCTGGTACCTCTGTGCTCTGCGAGACACCCTGGTGCAGGGAGCTGCCTCGGCTGTGCAACAAGGCAGGGCAGGGAGGGGATGTGTCAGGGCAAGGCTGAGCTTGGGGAAGGGACCCTGGTCTCATCCCGGTGTTCATCAGAAGTTGCATCCACATGCGTGTACTATGGTCTGATGGTTTTGACGCCATCCATTGTAGCACATCCATTGCAAAACACTTTTGTATTATTTTGATTCATGTCTGCATTGTGCAGTCTCTAATGAAATTAAAATCTCCCCTCTGCTTGCCTGGGTCCTTGTCCTGCCAGATTCCAGCCCTGCTGCTTTTGCCCCACATGTCCCCAGCAGAGCCCAGCGCTGGTTGTGTGTTCCTGCCTTGTGAGCTCTCGGAGCAGCCCCGTTTGCACGGACACACGGGAAGCACGGGTTTGTCTGTGGCTCCACGGCGCTGAGCATCCCTGGCTGTGTCCGTGTGTGTCCCTCATCGGGAGGGAATTTGCTGCCTCTGCCAGGGCCCCGAGCGCTG